TCAGTGCAGTGTATTCCTGTCCCTCTCTTCCCAGCACAGTCTTATTAATAATAATTATTAACTTGTCAGTCATACTCATTTGTTTTAAAACCTGCTTTCTTTTTTTATGTCCATCTGAATTGTTGTCAGATGGTTGGGAGCAATCATCAGGAAGCGTTGGACCTGGTTTCCATCCTCTTTGGAACTTACCAGTCAGCAAGATGGTCACATTACAAGTTTGACTGACTGACAAAATTCAGTCTGCATCTACCTAATGTCCATCAGAGTATTATATCTCTCTATTTCTTGATCGATTTATGTGATATCATCATCATGACCTAGACTGCAAAGTGAGGTTTTGAAGACTGAGATACGTAAGATATGTATTGCGCATGACTAACCATCACCTTTATCAACGGAAATGTTAGCTGACACAGGATGGATCAGGTTGGAAAAGATCTAGTGGTGGTTAAACCAAAACATAGAATCAATTCGTCAAATCTATGTTAGTTAGTTTGAGACAGCCACGTGGGGAGGCGTAGACTACCCTAGTCATTGGGATCCACAGGATTCAAAGAATCAATAAAAGCTGGGAACAGTTGGTGATATGGCTGGTTCAAAATCATTCTCAATGTCTAACACAGACGCACTCACCTGTTGTAATCCGCTATATCCAATAAACCCCAATGTTTCCCCATTTTACTATTCTTTCTCCCTCACTTTTATGCCTGTTATGGTCCTTTCCAATCCTTTATTTCCGTCTTTGTGTCGTAAATGGAGTGTAGCAACTAGAACTGTGTTGAAACGCACTCATTCGGTCACAGGGATCTCTTGTTTCTCCCTCGGTGTGTGTGTGTGTGTGGGGGGGTAAATGTTACCCAATTTTATTTTAAAAATTCAACTGCCACGCTTATTAAATTGACCCTCATCCGGAACGTTTCTTTTGCACTCTAGGTCATGGAGAGCCCCACACATGTTCCGTGAAGGCTGCTAACACTATCTATTTGTTCAGTCAGAGGTTGAAGAAGCTCGACTCAGACCACGAACCCAGTGGTCTACAGCTGAGCCCTTATGACAGTGAACTCCAGTTCCAGCCTTACATAAACGATTTCAACATGCATCATTCAAAATTACAATTTAACTCGACTATTTTGCACATCTTTAGGTTTAGGCTACGATACCTGTTGTGTAAAACCTAATGATACAGCGATTATTTAGCCACCTAGATCTTGGGTTTGAAAACCTGCTACCTAGAGGCTAAAAGTCTATTTCTTATAACCAATGAACCACTACAAATTCACAAAGTAAGATTGTAAGAGGATGAATTTATTCGATTGCGTTTAGTATTCAGGACTGTTCTAAAAGAGGACTGTAGGAACTGAGATTAGTCTCTTGAGACTGATGATGAGTTGATTTCAGGAAGTGAACTACTGAAATCCATTAGGGAGTACTGGACAGCCAACTGCTTCGTCCTTGTTTGGAACTCTTCAGTGGTACACATCCATCACCCCACCGACAGAGAACGAACCCCGTGTTCAGCTACTGGCCTATGGGTCATGAATTATAACTTCTTCTGATTCTCCATCGGTGAGTATTTGTCCTCGTACCAAAATTGGAGGACCCCATAACTACTCATAACTTCCCACTGGATCTTTAAGCAACTTTATCCTGTCTTTAGCGAGTCACTAGTGAGCATGAAACTGAGACTAGCCTATTTATTGAAATTACTATGCTGAACTTACTTTTGATCAATTTCATCACAGCGGAATGCTCGATATCTGCTGATATGTCAGTTTGACTTAGAATATGCAGACGATATAGTCCTTCTAGGCGAGGACGCAGACAAAATGCAGAGTCTTCTGAACACCTTGAACAACAATCTTCGTATGTTTGGCATGCGATTCACCCCTGTAAAATCTAAGATGATGTTACAGGATTGGACTACACCGACCCCTAGATTAGAAATAGGAAGTGAAGTGGTGGAGCACGTTGACCGCTTCACTTACTTGGGAAGTACCATCAGCCCCAACGGGTTGATCTCTGATGGAATCTCAGCACGAATACAGAGGGCTAGTTTCGATTATGCCAGTTTACGCCGTCTCTTTCTTAGTAGACGTGATATCCGGCTATCGACCAAAGGGCGGATGTACTGCTCAACAGTCCGCTCCGTCTTCTTTTATGGCTATGAGACCTGGGAATTGAGAGTGGAAGACATGAAAAGGCTAGCTAGCTGTCTTCGATCATAGGTGCCTGCGTTCTATCTCCCGCGTCAAGTAGTATAATAAGGTGAGCAATATTGAGGTTAGGCGTCGAGTATTAGGTAAGGAGGAAAAATGAGTCGACGAGACTGTGAAATTACATTGACTGAGATGGTTAGAGCATGTGTTACGTATGCCTAGTCATCGCCTTCCTCGACAACGGGCAATGTTAGCTGACATAGGATGGATCAGGCTGGAAAAGAGCTAGCGGCGGTCAAACCAAAACATGGCACCAGTCAATGAAATCTACAACAATTAGTCTCAGCCACGTAGGAAGGTGTAAACTTCCTGCCTGGTTGGGATCCTCGGGACGGTAAAAACCAACGGTTGGAAACAATAGGTGACATGGCTCAAAATCGTTGTCAGTGGCTGGCGCAGATTCATCCACTCCTTGTGACTTATGATTTCCGTTGAAACTGTTTTGTTCTTCATTATTACTATTCCTTCGTCTCATATCTCTAATATGCATTTCTCCTACTCTCTTCTCTCTCTTTGTGTGGTACATGGAATGTGGCTACTTGAACTGCCGCACATATGTGCAAAGTTCTATGTCGAAAACCGACCGATATGACAGTTTCTAGTAGGGATGATTTGACGATGCGATCTGATTGACGGTTAGTAGTGTAAAAGGTGGTTCTCGTGACGCCATAGGCTAGTGGATAATGATACCAGTGCATTTGAAACGCTGGGCACTGGTTTCGAGTCTGGTTGGGGACAGTCAGTGGGTTAGCGAGTATCGCGAGCCTAGCTGATGATTTCCGACAATTTGTACTTAGCTGCTAGCTGTCAGCCATCACATAACACTGTGAAATTCTCAAGATTTGATTGGTGGGAATTCGATTCATTTCAAGCTTGACCACTGATTGATATCAGCTATTTCGTTCGACTAGTTTGGGACACATTAGCAGTACACGGCCACAGGCGGGTTTGAACCGAGGACCTTCCAATTACAAGGAAAGCCCATTGACCATTCAGTCATTGGGACCCGAGCCAATGGCTAGCCCATGAATTCTCACTTCTACCAATTCATGATTTTTAACGTGACTGGCACCAGCCAATATTTGGCCCCATTCACAACCAACTTGGTGGGCCTCATTGGCCACATCTCACTAGAACTCTGGGCAACTTCGTACCGTAGGCAGTTACTAGCGAGCATCAGACCATTTTTCAAGAGTTAGCTTATAGGATTTTGATTCGGGTTCGAACCTTGGCGGGTGTGTACTGCCATTGGGTTTCAAACTAGTGGGACAAAAGTACTGACTGCCCAGTACTCCCTGTTGGTTCTCTAACTGATATCAATCCGTAGTCGAACTTGAAATTATGAGATTCCCTTAAATTGTGTGACCAACTGACTACAGCCATGAAGCTTCGGTGGCAGTGGTTTTATTTTTACGGGGTGGAATTACTGGTCTCACGCCCAATCTTCCCTTTTTACCAGGCTTGTTACCAGTTAAACGATGTTTGGGAGTGCGTCAGCAGTGGGGTGAACCCTGGACTACCTGAGTGGCACGACTATTTCTTTTGCCATCCATCACTAAGCGCCTTCTTTGGTAAAAAAACAACCTTATAAGATGGACGTTCAGTGGTATACTCTAATTAGTTCCAAAGTGAAGTAAACTGGGCGTTTAGTCAATTTATTTCCCAAATCGCGAAAACCAACAAACCGGCTGAAGAGGCAGAGAAAACAGGACTCCAGGTGAACATAGAGAAGACGGGCAGAGGTGATGAAGATAACCACCATCAACAGCAACAACAACTAGCGCCAATCACCATCAACGGGAGAGATTTAACAGAGGCTGGCTCCTTCACTTATCCAGCCAGGAAGCATCGTTTCAACTACAGGCAGTCGGAACGGACGAAGATGTGAAAGCCAGCCAGTCAGAATCGAAAAGGCAAGATACACCTTTATCAATCTGAAACCAGTTTGGAAATCTTCTGCACTCGGCATAAGGAACAAGATTCGCATTTTCAACACTAATGTCAAGTCGGTTCTTCTATACAGGTCAGAAACTCGCACTGCACGTGCGTCACGAAAAGGATTTCCAACAAGCCACTACAGACTTTTGTCAACGGTGGTCACCTTCACTCTATACTGAAGATGAAATGATCAGTTGGAAAGAATTAGCCACAAGAAACTCTGGTTGGCTGGGAACAAACCAGCAGGCGAGAGTCGATCGCTCGACAAATATGTTGGAGCAAGTGGAGACGGATCGGGCTGGGCATACATTGAGGAGGCCACCGAATGACATCACACACCAGGCCCTCGAGTAGAATCCCGTTGGGAAGCGACGACTGGGTCGTCAGCGCGAAAGTGACATGGAGGAGATCGTGTGAGGAAGAGATGAGAGAGTTTGATCAATCGTGGATCCAGCCAGCTGAAGAGGACGGCAGAAAATAGAAGAAAGCAAAGACGTGCTGTTGAAGCCCTTTAATGTTCCCCTCTTCGAACGCAAGGGGATAATAATGATAATAGTAATAATTTCCCAAATCAATTTATCCCACAATAGTTATAGTATAAATTGTTATTATGAAATTAGTCCAGAAAAAACAACAACAACATTTGTCTTACCCCTTATCTTTACATGTTTATTTGTGTTATGTGCAACTATTTATGTGCTTATTACTGATAATATTGATAGTATTGCTTCCATTATTAATTTTATCAGTATAACCGTTTATATTATATTCCCATTTCATAATCTATTCCCTTTTTTTGTTGTTGTTGTTGATTATTTTAAACAAACTACAAAAATACATATCCAGGTGTTCAATGTACAATATAATTTGTTCAATAGATTTGACTAGCAGCTTTTCACTGTTCAACTAACTAACTCCTTCTCTATCGCTATCTCTATCTCATATACAAATTTGAAAAGCGGAAAATCAATAATCACAGTTGACGTACACACACACAGACACAAACATACACACATATGAAAGTCGATCCTTCATCAGTTGATCTCCTTCACCCGTGTCCTATTTATCCAAATCCAATGCTGGCATTCTGTTCAAGTATCTCATCAAATGCTCGAAATATATTTTCTCCAGATATCTGTAAAGAATTAGACTCCTCATTCAATTGTAATGAAATGGGCAATACCTCGTCATCAACGTCAACAATAACAACAACGCCACCAGCAACAACAACAACAAACTGTACAGTTTCAACTCCCCTGTCTTCGTCATCCTCTGGTATAACAATGCATAACGGGGATACATTATCAGCATCAGGAGCATCGACATTATCAGTGGAGACATCCGTCGTAGATAAAGTTATTCATCTGTTAGGAAGTGTTTGTCAGTCGAAACACTTACCAATTGATGAGAAATTGAAAATTCTCACAGATATCGCTGAACATGTAATTAAATTGTATGAAATGTTGACGAGTACACTGGGAGAGAATTTCACATCATGGGTAAGTTAAGCAAATTGTTCTACTTGGGTTTTTTTTCGATAAGGCAATAAGAAGACGTAATTTTTCTGAATCGTGTAATGCTGTGTTTGCGCAACACTCATTTCGAACAATCTGATCACACACGGAACTTGTCAGAGGAATATGTATAAATGAAATTAATAAAGAGTTAAGAGGTGGGTGAGAAAATAGACTTAGGTCAAGTTAAAAGGACATTATTATATTATTATTGTTTCCTTTAATTCCTAGGGGAACATAGGGCTTCAGCCGTGCGTCTCCATTGCGTTCGGTTCTCTGCTAGAGTCTTCACCTGGCTCCAAGTCTGCCCACACGTTTTCATCTCCCCTTCACATGACCTCCTCCAAGTCACCCTCTCACTGACGACCAACTTGCCGCTTCCCTTTCGGGTTCCACTTGAGCAATGGCTTGTCTAGTGATGTCACTTGATGCATTGTTTCCTCAGAGTATGGCCGATCCATTTCCACTTCTTTCTGCCTATTTGTTTCACAATCGTCTCCTGGTTGGTTCTCTCCAAGAGATCTCTGTTGCTGATCTCTTCTGGCCGGCCATCTGATCTTGAGTGGTATCGAGCAAAGACAGCTGTTAATGAAGGTCTGTAGTTTGTTTGAGATGCTCTTTATGACGCACTGGCCAAGTCTCTGATCCGTATAGAGTAGCACTGACTGACTTCACATTGGAGTTGAAAATCCGGATGTTATTTTTCATGCTGAGTGCTGTTAACCTCCACACAGACTTGAGAGTAATGAAAGCTTGTCTTGCTTTCCCGATCCTCGCTGCTTTGATATCCTCGTCAGTTCCGCCTGTAGTTGAAACGATGCTTCCCAGGTAGGTAAAGGAGGTTGTTTCTTTCAGGTTCCTTCTATTTATGCTGATCGTTGTCTGTTGTTGTTGTTCTTGTCCAGGAATCGGTCGGGTAAAACGACATATTCAAAGTCAAAATAACAATGAAGACCACTTAACCAAATAGCAGAGGTAATAGTACATCTGCTATGGTATTAAAACAAAATTTACCAAGGAAAGTGGTTTAGTGTGATGACGAATTGTTGATTTGAACGCATTAAGGTGGTTTAAACTTTCTAATTACCAGCTATGGCTTCCACAAACTTTACGATACCCTCCACCAAACACGTTTTATAGATGGGTTTAAACGACTCGTGCAAACTTCAATTTTATGTCCTGTCTCTATAGTATGTTTCGCAACAGAAGAGCTAGGTCTCCTGCGCTCACCATTAATGGATTCTGGAGATTCCCTCTGCTTATGGAGCGATTTAGGAATATGCTGTGAAGCCAGCCCTTACTTGCAGAGATCGATGAGTCCTCCCCATATATGTATGACCACACGTACATTCAAATTGGTAAATACAGTAGGATGTGACATCATATTTCGCATGTTCTAAGAGCATAGATGGATATATTGGCTTCACATTCTCAATTATTATGATATTAGCTGCATAAAAAGTCTTTTTAACCACAACAGCGTTCAGTCTTTGTCTAGTTATCAAGCTGCTATGATGCCCCATATAGAGTAGCTTGATGTACACGTCTTTCATTGTTATTTTGACCATGAATATGTCCTTTTAACTTGACCTAACTTGTCTATTTTCTCACCTCTTAACTCTTAATTAATTTCATATATGCTCGTATGACAAGTTCGTGTGTGATCAGATTGTTCGAAATAAGTGTTGCTCAAAATAACGCCTTACACGATTCAGATAAATTACGTCTTCTTATTGCTTTATCTAAATTCATAAAGAGAACTAATTGTTTTAAATTTGTTTTTTCGTTGTTTCGAATTAGAACATGTGTTATGAATTAGATGACAATCCGGAGAATCAGTAAGATGAGTGTTGTTAAAGTTCAGAATAAGTCAGGATACCCTATTAGACAGATCTATAGTTGATTTTAGAAATTCACCTACTTATGAATTATCTAAATATTTAGCCATGATATTAAATCCCCTTAAAAGCCACTCAAAATCATCAAGACTAACAAATTTTTATGAACTGAAACATAGATTAGATAATTTAAAATTAGATAATGAAGAAAAAATGGTTAGGTTTGACATTGTCAGTTTATATACACGTATACCAATAAATATGGCTATGGAGGCAGTCAGAAACGAACTCATTTCTGACCAAGAACTCGAACTTAAAACGAAAGTGCCACTTGTGGACATAATGCTGGAAGTGAAGCTATGCCTAACTTCCACAGTATTTAAATTTCAAGGGAAAATATACGAACAAACTGAAGGAGTTGCCATGGGGTCACCAATATCCCCGGTTGTGGCAGATATATGTTCATGGATAGGTGGGAAAACTTAACGACTGAAACGTCCAACTGACCCCACCCCAAAAGTATGGTGGAGGTGCGCAGATGATACATTCACTGTACTTAGAACACAAGATATAAATGGATATTTCGAACACATCAACTCGAAGGTTGAAGCAATTCAATTCACTTATGAATTGGAAAACCAAAAAGGGGAGCTCCCAATGTTAGATTGCAGCATAAAAAGGAAAGAAGATGGGAAGTTAAGCACATTAGTGTTTACAGGAAACCCACACACTCAAACAGATATTTAGACTTCCGATCGTCCCATCCTATGTCAGTAAAAATAGGATTGGTGAAATGTTTAAATGACAGAGCACAAAAACTAAGTAGTACCAAGGAAAATCTAAGATAGGAAGTGTGGCATATAAGAGAAGCTTTGAAATTTAATAATTACCCTGATAAATTAGTCAGAAAGTATGTAGAGAAATCTAAAAATGAAATAAATAATGATCGTAGTGATAGTGATAATAATAATAGTAATATTAATGACGACATGCATGTCAAACATGCACAGGGTAATGACAACACCAAGAATAGGGAATATAAATCATCAGTCGTACTTCCATACAAAGAAAGAATCTCTGAAATCCTACGGAGAATTATTACCAATGCTGGCAGGAATAAAAGCGGCTGGTATTCAAACCTACAAACTCAATTAGAAATAAACTTTGTCGGCTAGAGGATCAGTCCTGTTGAACCTTTTAAACAAAACAATTTAGTTTATCTAATACCCTGCCTTCAATGGTTGTCAGGTCAAATGCATAGGTCAAACTAGTAGAACAGGGAGGGTCAGACTAGCCGAACATAAAAACCTGGCAAAATCTAGATTAGTTGACCCGAATAACATAAGAAAACTGGAGAATAGTTCAGCTATACCACTCACTACATGCAGTTACACACAACCATACAATAGGATGGGATGAGATGACAGTTTTAAAATCTAATGTCACAGGGTGGAGGGAGAGAGATTGATAACAGAAGCTTTGTTTATCGAATCAATTGCAAACACGTGTAATAGGAATGATTCAACACTTGTCCAGCCAGATATCTGGAAAATTCTACTACCCCAACGACGACAAATAAGAGAGAACAAAGAAAACTATAAAACTCAAGTTTCGAAGTCGTGTGATTATAATTGATGATATGATTATGAACAATGAAATTTTGTTCGAAACTTTGTCATCCAGTAAATAATACTGTTTCACTCACTGTGTGATACATCTAATAAACAAACTGATATGGAATCCGGAGAATCATTGGAAAAACCAAAGAGCACTGAAGGCGTTTGTTTACAACGTCTAGTTTGAGACTTTTTTTCACACAAAAGTGAGCATCCATGAAACTACTAGGGATACTTTTTATTGGACACTAGGTGGTAACTAGTGTGATGTGTCTAGTCCTTTGTTCATTGGAGACTGAATTCTATCGTTGGTCAAATTTGTAATGTGGCCACCATGCCACTAGGTGGCTTGCCATCCTGGTACAGTCAGGATTGTTGTTATTAGATGGTTGGAGGCAATCAACCCCACAGGAAGCCTTGCGTGGACCTAGGTTTCGTGTGAGTTGGCACTCACCAGTCAGCAAGGCGTATCCGCAATCACCTTGAAGGAATTCATGTCCCTTCTGAGATCGAACCCAGTGAGTGCTTCAGTCAGAGACGTTACCACTAGTCCAAAGGACTAAACACACGACAGTAGTTAGTTTCCAATCGAAATGATCTAATACAGTCCTACAGGAGATCAATCGCTAGCCCGAATAGCTCAGTGGTGACGTATCTGACTGCAGCACTCACTGAGTGATGCGGATTCGAATCCCGAAAGGGACATGAGTTACTTCAAGGTTGCATATGCGTCTAGCTGACTGGTGAGAGCCAACTAGCACGAAACCTGAGTCCAAGGAGTCCAAGGATGGAGTCGAATGCATCCATCCATCTAATAACAGTTACTAGGAATGGACTGTAGGACCTTCACCGTAGGATGACATCTTGTTCACCGCTCATTCTACGGTTAACCGATATCATTGATGAAATTCCGCCTCATAACTGATGTGGTAAATCTCATTGGTCACTCCTTCTAATCATAGCAACCTGAAGGTCTTGCATTTCATCCGACAGCTGAAGAGTCACATCCAATTCCAGTGCTACCTGGTTTTCAATGATTCTCCAAAATGCTGTTGGCTAGAGAAGACATCAACAGCAGTGGAGGAAGCCAAACACTAACGTTTCTTGAATGTCAACACTTGTTAGCAAGGTTACTCACTGCTGACACTGGTTAGCGGTTGCATTTTATATCACGAATAGGTAGAAATTGGAATTCATGCGCCACCAAGTTTGGTCACAGTAACCGAGTGGTCTATGAGCTCGCCTTTTAACTTGAAGTATCTGGGTTCGAACCCCACGGGTGCATACTGCTGATTAGTCTCAAACAAGGAAAAGAAAACTGTCCAATACTCCCTGCTGGTTTTTTATTGGTTCTCTGACTGATGTCACCTGGTGATCGAATCTGCATTCAGAATAATTATTAAGTGAGATTTTATGCTGCCTATTTGGAAATATTTTTTTCAAATATTTTGCTTTTTTCAGCAAGATCATGAAACTCCACTGAATCTTACTCAACCAAAATTGTCGCACAGAGAGAAGGATGTCAATGGTGTCAACAATTCTACCTCCAGTGTACAACAACAATTGTATGATACAATATCAAATTCCCTGAATCCTCAAAATCTCACCTATCCGCAATCTGCCAAGTCTTTAACAAACACCTCCTTATTCCCACCTGTGTTGAATATCCCATCAACCAACCCATTAATTCAAATGACCCAGTCTATGCCATGGTTACAACAGAAATCAGCAGATCAGCTAACAAATGGATTGATGTGTCCTACAAATGACAGCTCAGAGATGATGATGCCTTCCGAAAGAAACTTAACTCCCTTCTTTAATTGGTTGTCTACATTTCCAGATGTCAACCTCTTACCTAACTGGTTACTTGAACAAATCACCATGTCGAATAACGAAAAGGTAATTTATTGATTTTAAAAGAAGTTGTTAATAGTAATAATAATTTGCTTTATTCCAAAACAGTACTTGTGATACAGAATGGAATTCTCAGCATTTTTACTACAGTATTGCATCCAGTTAGTACATTATCAATAAATAGAATTCTACATAGATTAAGGAAATCTCAGTTCATTATGAAAACAACACATTGGCATGTCGGTAGCAAAGGTAAAGCTGAAACAGTGTTTGAAGGTGTTAGAAAAGTAGGTGCTATCATATTTACTGGCGTAAGCGAGAGAAAGAAACAAAGCAGCACATAACAGAAAACAAGAAAGAGAGAGAAAAGGAAAAGAAAGAAAGAAAATGTTGTAGCTATAAATGATATGAGTTGGAAAGACGAGGTCCAGTTGTAGTACTGACTATTTAATGAATTATAGGTGTCACGCCTAATGCTTTCTTTATCACACAGAACACGAGCTAAGTAGGGTATGGTTGAGTTTTTGTACTTACTGGTGCGAGCATATAGTTTTCTATATAGGCTTCTAGTTTTGCCTGATGAGATGCAAGGGGAGAGTTGTGAGTGAAGAGGGTGGTGTGATTTAGATAAAATTGATTTGGCCCATTTTTCACATGAGTCCATGTGCCTGTCAACCAGAATATTAACAAGCTGGTTAAGTGGCACATTGCTTACCCTGTTGACAACCTTTGACATCCTGCGTAATATGTTATAGTCTTTCTTCAGTAGCCCGGGAAAACTAAGGGGGAACAATAGAGAATAATAGGCAGAATGCGAGAGTTAACGAATTGTAGGAGTAAGGGTTGGGTTATACCAGAATGTTTTAACTTCTTGATGTAGAAGGTAAGACGGAATATTTTCTTAGAAATCGCTAAGATATAAGACGACCAGGAGAGATCAGCAGATAGAATGACGCCTAGGTATTCGATTTCCGACTTGGTTTCTATTTCAGTGCCATCTATGTTGCATACCTCGTGAGAGCTAACCAGTTTGTTTAGGTCAGATTTATGCCTAAAGGTGAAATTGACTGTTTGGCATTTGGAGGGGTTTAAGGTAAGGCCGTTTTCCTTGGACCACTGGCTGATTTCTGACAGAAAACCATTAAGTTTAGAGCAGTCACTTTGATATTTGACAGGTAAAGATACTGTCAGGTCGTCAGCATATTTGACAAAATTGATGTCATTTGAAGATGGTAAGTCATATAGAAGGAAAGAAAAGAGAAGTGGGAAGAGTACAGCACCTTGGGGGACACCAGCTTCAGTGAGCGCAGCAGAGAAGGATTTACCTTTGTATACTGTGTAATCATTCTGTTTGAGAAATAGGAATGCAACCAGTTTGTGACCCAGGACTCAGTTTTTGTCATAGAGAGCTTATTTAGCAAGAGACATCTAGGTACATAGTCGAGCCAATCATTTGATGAGGCTTCTTTTACAATCTTGGAGATCTCAGTGGAATATGTGGCTTCAAGGACTTTAAAGTTTTGTAGTGAACGTGTTGTTTTTACTCATTCGAGAGGCCGGGGGGTAGCTAATCTCGTAACTGAAGGACATAAGAGACCTGGTAACTCACCTTTATTAAAGAAAAAGATATCATATTAAGGTTCGGCTAGGTTAGAGGACAACAAACCGTTCCGATTGGCTGACAATTGGCCCAAGGTGGAACGAGTTGCCCCGAAAAGTAAAATGAATTCAGATTCGAGGAATAAACACTGCTACCTCTGCAGCCAGTCTCTGACTTTGGTCGGTTCGTATCAATCTGTATCACGTGACAACCTCACTTCCAACCCTTCATGTTCTCATGGATTCATTCTGGTTAGGCGAAGCTTAGCAATAAGTCGGCTGGAAACCGAACTAGGATCTCGCGAATTGATTCGGCTACGGATACATCTGATGAATAAGGACAGGATCCAAAACAGCAGTCTTTAAGTTACCGATAGGTTGTAAGTGGGGTTTATAGATCAGTTGATCGAAGAGTACTCACCTAATAAGCCAGAGGCTGTTTACTTGAATTCTGTTACAGCCCTGAAGGCAAGTACATAAGTTTCTATGTTAAGTAGTTAAGCAGTAACCTTTTTTGGTTTGGAGTTGGAAAGTAGCCATGAGGAACAAATATTATGTGTAGTAGAGAAGATTTGTATTTCAGGTGGATGATTTGCAATTAATAGTGTTCTCTGAGCTGGTTGGTTTAGTTGCGGAGCTTTCGTCGTCCTTCTGGACAACATCTTCGTAATATTTAGCATAAAGTGAAATGATTTAAATTTCTTCATGAGTGATATAATTGCGTCTCCAACAGAAAAAGGAGATAAAATTAATACCATTTACAAAATAAATTGTTTGAACTGTAACAAACATTACATCGGCCAAAGTCGTCGTCCCCTTCGAATCAGAATCCAAGAACACAAATCAGCCGTGAAAAGACACAATATGTATTCTTTAGTATCAATGCATATAGACAATTATGGACATCAATTTGATTGGGATAATGTCGAAATCTTAGACAGAGGAAACACCAAAAGTGCAGCCAGGGAATTCCTAGAAGCCCGGTACTCAAACGAAAATGCAATTAACAGTCATGTTAATATAGACGAAATATACCAGCTAATAAAAAGTAAATCAGGTGACCAGAAAGTTTAAAATCCAAGTCAATAGAAAATGGTCAATACATATGTAAAGATGGTTACCAGGAGACGTACGAAATTATATCACTCATGAAGAAATTTAAATCATTTCACTTTGTGCTAAATATTGCTCTGAAGGTGTTGTCCAAAAGGACGATGAAAGCTCTGCAACTAAACCGACCAGCTCAGAGAACATTAATAATTGTAAATATTATGTGCCCTGTTTCTGTTTAATTTCATCATAGATGTACTAATGAACCTTTTAATAAAGGAATAATCTTGTTGACTTAGAATATGTACTGATGAAATAATCCTCCTAGGTGAAGATGCTGACAAGATGCAGTCTTCTGAACACCTTGAGTAGCAATCTTCGAATGTTTGGTATGCGATTCGTGCCCTGTTGTCAAATGTTAGATGATGAAGCAACAGGACTGGACTACATCGACTCCTAGCTGGCCTAAAGAAAGAGAGTCAAGTAGCAGATCGAGCGTGTTAACCACTTCACTTATTCAGGAAATTACATCAGCCAGTCCCAAAGGAATGATTATTAACGAAATCCCAGTACGGATAGGTGGTTTCTTACTATTTCTTCCAGTGAGTCTCCATTGAATTGTACAGTCAGGTAGAGAAGCCTTTTAGAAGTATAAAGTGTGGACAGTTTTACTTGAGTGATATCCAACTACTCAATTAAATAAATCAGTAGTATTTAATGTCATGTATCAATCAATAGCTGTTTAGCCGTATTCGCCTATAAAATCACTTGATATAAATTGATAAAATCGGTACTGAGTAGTACTCAGTTGGTTTGATTTAAGTAGGTAGGAGTAGGACTCGAATCTTGGAGGTGTTATTTGAGTTCTTAAGCCTAATAGCTCTCCTTTACCTACCTGGGAAGCATCGAATCAACTACAGGTTGGCGGAAATGATGAGGATCTCATCAAAGCAGTGAGGATCAGGAGAGTAAGGTAAGCTTTCATTTCCCTCAAGTCTGTGTGGAGGAGATGAACAGCACTCAGCATGAAAAATAAGATCCGGATTTTGAACTTCAATGTGAAGTCAGTCAGTGCTGTTTACTATACGGATCAGAGACTTGGCGTGTCATGAAGGCCACTTCGAACAAACTACACACCTTAATCAACAGCTGTCTTCGCTCAATACTCAAGATCACATGGCCAGAAAAAATCAGCAACAGGGATCTTTGGCAAGGAACGAACCAATCAACCAACGAGGAAGGAAGAGATGAAGTTAGGTAGATTGGTGGCCATACTCTGAGAAAACAAACCATCAAGTGAGTGACATCACACGCCACGCCAGGCCATTGATCGAGTGGAACCAGAAAGGGAGGCGGAGAGTTGATCGTCAGCGCTGGGGTGACATGGAAGAGGAGGTTGTTGAGAAGTGGAGATGAAAGCATGTGGGCAGACGTGAAGCCAGATAAAAACGTTGGCGGAGAACCGCGAACGCGACAGAGACGTTCAGCTGAGGCCCTATGTTCCTCCAGGAACTAAAGGAAACAACAATAACAACAAGCCTAATAGCTACTGTATCTCTTGAAAACTGATAAATGGTAATAATTATTATTTAATTGTGGTGATTTTTTAGCCTGCTGAATCGATTCTTCCATAAAATCAATCAATTTTCCCCTGTATCTTTTTCACCTTTTAATACTTTTTTTTTCTACCGCAGATGAGTACAAATCCGATGACACACTCCCCTAGTAACAATAATAATAGTAATAATGCATTTACTGAAACCATGTTAAACTATATGAAATGCTACTATGCAAAATTATCAAGTAATCAAACCCCCAGTGAACAGTACCAAATGGAAATCGGCCAGACTTATCCAGGCAGCAGAAAGACTTCACATGCCTCGAACAAAGAATACGCTCTTGATAATCAACAATTGTCTATAAAAAATTCCATAGAGGAGGAGGAAATATTCACAATGGATATGATCTTATAGGGGGTAATTCAGTACAACAGAAACCTCACCTTCCTAGTGCATTTATGCAGTTATATGATGTAATCAACCAAATAAAGCCTAAATTGGATAAAGAGGCTCTAACATCAGTAACGTCGACTTCTACTCCGCAAACAACATTGGGCAACAACTTTTTAATGCAAACACCGTTAGTGAATAACATCAACAATGAAAGCTGCAGTAATGCGGTATCACTCTTAACTTCCTCTCCTATCCCATCATCATCATCATCAACATCGGGGATGTATCCACCACAGTCGCAAGATCTTCCAGGCATTCGTCAACCTTATGATAACCCTATTAATCTCTTATCTTTTAATCAAAGAATAACTTCAGTGACTGAAATGAATAAAAATCAATTCAATTTAAGTTTACAACAAATTCCAAAATTCAATGGTATCAATAATTTCCACCCGAAAGTAATTAATAACAATAGCGATAACAGTAACAACAGTGAAAATAAAAGTAATAATCTAGATCCAGTGACTATGATGAATGGAAACGCATCGACTACACAACCATCATGCTTTTCATCATCAATTAATAATTCAATGTTCAATGGGAACAATTCAAATTTGGCGGGTTTTTCTTTACCGGAAAATACAAATTGTAATCTATCAATGTTTTATAATACTACTACAATAACAAATGTTAATGATAATAACAGTAATAACTTTAATGGTTTTCATGATAATGATACAAATAAACAATCTTCAGATGTGAATCATTCTAAAATTGGCGCGTTTAATTTAAATCCTAGCGCTACTGAACTAGTTAAACAACACTTTACATCACTATCAAAGCTGACATCAGGTTCGCTAAATTTAAACATGAATATTGATGATGGTAATAATAATAATAATAGTAATAGAACGGCTGCTGTGACCACTACTCCTCCAGGTAGTACTTCCGACACTACAGATACTACTAACGTTAGTAATAGTAGTAGTATAATCAATTCAAATGAAATTGACAACCAAATGAAAGATACTGTCAACTCATTGAAATCGTTAACGCCTATTTCTAATCAAAATAATTTAATGTCAACAGAATTAACTGGACAGTACCAGTTGAATCGTCATCATCCACAGACGTATTATTATCCACTGAGTCAACATAAACAACAACAAACATGCCGTTTATTGAAGAGGAAAGATTACAATAATATAGAACAAAAATATAAAAATATTAAATTGACATATTCAGATAATTATGAAAATAATAATAGTAATAATAATGGTGAGGCAGATGAGGCGGATGATGAAGAACTTGAAGAAGGAGATTTTGATATTTCCCAACGGTCAAAGTTCATACAACATGAACATCAGCAGGTGAGCCATTATATTTTAATCTTATTTCTTATAGTTTTCTTTGGAAGATGAAATCAGTTTTTTAGATCACAGTTGATGTCGATATTAGCATAGAACTTGGGCACTGTGGTGATAAAGCATAGTTTATTTATGATGGCCAGATGGCCAGAAAAGATCAGCAATAGGGACCTGTGGGAGCAAACCAACCAGGAACCTATTGTGCAACAAATAGGCAGGAAGAAATGGAGATGGATAGGCCATACTCTGAGGAAGCCATCAAGCGACATCACTAGACAAGCCATCGCTCGAGTGGAACCCGAAGGGGGAAGCGGCGAGTCGGTTGTCCAAGGGTGACTTGGAGGAGGTCATATGAAGAGGAGATGAGAGCATGTGGGCAGACTTGGAGCCAGGTAAAAACTCTAGCAGAGAAACGAACGCAATGAAGACGCACAGCTGAAGCCCTATATTCCCCTAGGAATTAAAGGAAATAATAATAATGAAGAAAATTTATTTCGATAAAGTCTCACAGCGTGTTATACAGTAGTAATATTTACTGATGACCACGTTTCGAGCACAATCTATACACTGCTCATAATTCCAATATCAAGTTACTCAAACAACTTTCCATCTTCCTTTCTCATTCCTTGATTTCATTGGTAGTGGTATTTAATGATGAGTCATTCCTACTGCATTTGTTGGATGTAGATTATTCAATGAACAATGATTCGGTAATCAACCTCTCACTCTCTCCGCCCACCTAGATTACTTTTTAGAATTTTAACCCTCTCTCACCCTATTGTTTGTTAATGCATGCAGTGCAATTGCTAAGCTTTTGTCTAAATTACTTATCTTTGTTGGATCAACCATTCTAACCGTAGCTAAATTCTTATGTTTCCAAAATGTAACTACCCCTATCTACTAGTCTGACCTATGTAGTTGACCTCAATCACAGTCATTGCAATATATTTTGTAAACTATGTTATTTTGTCTAATTGGGTCAACATGCAGGATCCTTTTACCCGACAAAGCCTGTCCTGCTTGAGTCAGTTTGTAGGTTTAAATGTCACCCTAATTCTTGCTCTATTTAGAATCCTACTACGTAGGGAGGGTCTCAGATGTCTCATGCCTTATATTCTCTCTTAATTCTTAAATATAAGTAGATGTACAAAGAGGTTGATTACTGAATCTTTGTTTGTCAATCTTGTTCTCCGTATCCACTACTAGGTGTGTGTCAGTATGGAAATTCTGATTGACCTTGCGACTCCTCTACCTAACTGATCACGTTGGACCAATGCTCAAGAAGGCGATGGTGGGATTACCGAGTTGTTCTACACATATAACTGTCTCTACACGAACGGTTAAATTTGCAAATGCACATTGAAGTGGTCACAAAATTGCAACTCTATGCATCATCATCACAGAACAAAGCATGGGATGCCAATCAAACCTCTACCTCAACTTTATAGACTTTGAGAAGGCCTTCGACAGCGTTGACCGCCCAGTAATTTGGAAACTACTCGAGTACTACGGCCTACCCCAAATATTCATCAACCTTATTCAACAGCTGTACGAGCGAAAACAGCTGTTGGTAAAGGTCTGCAACAGGCTGTTGGAAATATTCTTTGTGACCCGCCAAGTTTCTGATCCGTATAGAAGAACTGACTGACTTGACGTTTGTATTGAAAATCCGAATTTTGTTGTTGATGCTGAGGAGTGACGAAGATTTCCTGATTGGTTTCAGGTTGATGAATGTGCTTCTCGCCTTCCCGATTCTTGATTTGACATCCTCGTCCGTTCCTCGTGTAGTTGAGACAATGCTCCCTAAATAAGTGAAAGAAGTAACCTCTTTCAAATCCCTCCCGTTGATGGTGATTGGGGCTGGATGTCTCTGCTGTTGTTGTTGCTGGTTGGTTATTTTCATAACCTCCGTCTTGTCTATGTTCACGTGGAGTCCTCTGTTTGCTGCTTCTTCGACCAGTTTGTCGGTTTTCGCTTGTAAGTCTTCGATTTTGTGTGTGACATCAAACATAAATCATCCACGCGCGAAATCCAGGTCTTCTAGGTTCTTCACGTCGGTCCAGGATATCCCTGTCTTCTCGTTTCCCACTGTCTGACGCATAATCCAGTCCACCACAATTAGGAATATCATTGGTGATAATAAGCACCCTTGTCTGACTCCTGTGTATACTCCAAACGCTTCGCCGAGTTTTCCGTTGTGGATCACTTGACATGTGCCGTTGTCGTACAGGTGTTGAATAAGGTTGATGAATATTTGAGGTACGCCGTAGTACTCGAGTAGTTTCCAAATTACGCCATAATATTAATAAGATATCTGTTAATAGACTTTTCTATTAAGGAAAAACACATCATCGATGGTTTCTCAATATTTCTGCTGATGAGTCTACATTGAATTCCAGATTCAGATAGAGAAGTTGTGTAAAAGCAGAAAGTGTGTGCGGTTCTGGTGATTTAGGCTTCATGGATTTCGTGATGAAACATAACCATTTTCAAGGAGAATTCTACTCACACTGTTCACCTCCTCTTACATTAATATCAGAGCAGCAAATTCGGAGAATGCTGTACCTCAATGTAACGAATCAGGTTTCGTTTTGAATATAGAGGTACCCAAATATGAAAGTTGGTAAGCTGTCCATTCCATGTCAGTGTTCCATCCTATTCACGTTTTGAACATTAAAAAAAAACAACTTTTGAATCGGACTCCTTCATTAATGTGAAGTGAATTCCAGAATGGCTGGTTTCAACATAGAACTTTGCATCGATGTTCAGCGGTTCGAGTCGCCACATTCCCTCCATGTACCACATAAAGGAAGAAAAGAAGAAAGTAAAAGGAAATGCAAAGTAGAGACAGTAAACAGAGATATGAGGCAAAAAGAATAGTAACATCGAAGAACAATATAGTTTCATTGAGTATTATAAGTCACAAGGAGTGGATGCATCTGCGCCAGCCATCAGCGAGAATGGTTTTGAGCCAGCCATATCACCAATTGTCTCCAGCCTTCATTGGTGTTTACCGTCCCGATGACCCCAACCAGTCACGAAGTCTACACCTCCATACATGAATGACTGGCTTACACTAACTGTTGTGGATTTGATTGACTGATGAGGCCATGTTTTTGTTTGACAACCGCTGGCTCTTTTACAACCTGATCCATCCTGTGTAAGTCAGCTAACATCGCCCGTTGGTTGAGGAAGGCGATGGCCAGGCTAGGCATGCGTAGCACATGTCCTAACCACCTCAGTCGATGTAGCTTCACAACATCGTCGGTTGATTTCCCCTCCTTATCTAGCATCAACTAATGCCTAACGACAAAATTGCTCACCCTGTTACACCACCTCACACGCGAGATAGAACGCAGGCACCTATGATGACAGACAGCTAGCTGGCCTTTTCATGTCTTCTACTCTCGATGGCCAGGTCTCACAGCCATTAATATATATAAATATATATCCTATAATTTAACTCTGTATATGTAATGGTTTCTAATTTTTCACTTTAATGTCAGGTTCACATAAAATCGCATCGATCAACCAAATCAAATCCTGATCTATTAAATGATAAATCCGCTTCACATATAAAACGACCAATGAATGCTTTTATGATATGGGCAAGAGATGAAAGACGAAAAATTCTCAAGGTAAGTAAACTTTATTTGTATCAAAACTCTATATACTACTGAGTGATTCATATAAGTAGCTGTATATCCCCTTCACATCAACCAGCCGTGTTTGCTAATCAGATTGAAGTAGCGATCTAAACATCAAATAGCTGGGGCTGAACTCATCATTGGTATAGGGGGTGGTTTGACTGTTTTTAGAGAGCTAAATCAGTTGAAACTATCCGATTTCTGGCTAATAACGACTTCAGCAAACTGGTAGCGTCATAAATCAGATATGTGATTTCCGGCTTATCATTTGCAACTTACACAGATCGAAGAGGTGAGATTTCATCGCAGTTCCCTCACCTATGCGTAATTACGTCAATCGCAAATTAGTTTTGACAAATGAGAATTCTGTCAAAACTTTATTTGCTTGATAACTGTTTTTTTTTCTGTCTGAAGAAGTGAAGATAAAACTAAGTGGAAGAATGCAGATAGAAAACTGGGGAAACCTACTTCTGTTAACAGGTCAATTCAATGTGTGAATTAGTTTTTAATGAAGCGGTTTAACTGTCAGTTTGTGTAAAGACTAAAACTGATGTGTTGTGGTGTGAACGCAGAGAACCGATCTTTGTGGTCTACTCTGTTGACCAACTTACTTATGTGTGGGAAGTTGCATCAACCAACACCAGCGGGTTGATTGCTGACGAAATCTCAGCACGGATATAGAGGGCTAGTTACGCATATGCCAGTTTACGCCGTCTCTGACCTAGTATACGTGATATCCGGCTGACTGACTGTCGATCAAACGACGTATGCACTGCTTAGCAGTTCGCTCCGTCCTCCCTTATGGCTTTGAGCGAAATATGGCCATTGAGAGTGAAGGAAATTAAAAAACTAGCTAGCTGTCTTTGATCATAGGTGTCTGCGTTCTATCTGCGATGTTAAGTGGTGTAATAACATGAGCAATATTGAAATTAAGCATCGGTCGAGTGTTAGGTAAGAGGGGAGGGAAAATCAATCGGCGAATTTGTGAAGTTACACCAATAGAGATGTCTAGGGCATGGACATGTGTAACCCATGAATCCCCAGTCATCGCCTTCTAGAAAACAAGCAATGTTAGCTGACATAGGGATCCCAACCAGTCAGGAATTCTACACCTCCCTACATGACCCGCTTGCTTAAACCAGCTGTTGTGGATTTGATTGACTGATGAGGGCATGTTTTGATTTCACAACCACTGGCTCTTTTCTAACCTGGCCCACCCTAAGTCATCTAACATTGGCCGTTGTGGAGGAGGGCAGTGGATAGAGATGCATACGTAACACATGTCCTAACCATCTCAGTCAACGTAACCTCACAACCTCGTCTACTGATTTCCTCTCCCTCCTTACCTAGCATTCGACCGATGTCTAACCTCAATATTGCTCACCCTGTTATACCACCTAAATCAGGAGACAGAAAGCAGATATCTATGATCAAAGACAGCTAGCCAGGCTTTTCATGTCTTCCACTCTCAATGGCCATGTCTCACTGACAGACACAAAGGAGGACGGAGCGAACTGCTTAGCAGTACACACGTCGTTTGGTCGACAGTTAGTCAGCCGGATATCGCGTCTACTAAGTCAGAGACGGCGTAAACTTGCTAGCATGTGACAAGAGTATCAGCCAGCGGGAACACAAAAAAGACGGAGGTGATCAAGATAACCAACCAATCACTATCAATGGAATAAATTTAAAAGAGGTCAGTCGCTTCATTTATCTAGGCAGCGTCGTTTCAACGACACGCAACAGCGCGGACACTGACGTCGAAACCAGACAGCATCAGAAAAGCAAGTCTAACCTTCATCATTCTGAAATCAGTTTGATAATCGTCTGTACACAGTCAGTATTTTCAGTACCAACGTCAAATAAATCAGTCCTTCTACGTGAATCATAAACGACTCACACGTCACATGAAGCATTCTGAAGAAGTTACTGGTCGGTAGGCCAGCCAGTCGACCAGAAAGAATTATCAACAAGAAACTCTGTCAGCGAACAAACTAATCAAGAGTCTATTGCTCAAGAAATATGTTAGATAAAATGAAGATGAATCGGATATACGCCAGTGAGGAGATCATACAGCGCTGGGTCAGTCCAAGAGTACAACTTGAGTAGGAAACGATGAAATGGGTGTCGCTGTGAGTTTAAAATGGGGGAGATCGTCTGAGGAACAGGAGATGAGAGTCTATAGTCGGTCATAAAGCGCCAGGCAGTTGAAGAGGACTTTAGAGAAGAGGATGAAATGCGCAGATGTTCTATTGAGTCCCCATGATGTTTCACACGGAACCCAAAGGAATAATAAATATTTTCTATAGTTGGTTTATAAGGATTAGTTTTGTTTTTACGAGTTGATCACGGATTGATATCAGTTAGAGAACCATTGTCTGTCTGTCTGATTCCGACATAGAACTTTGCACATATGTGCAACAGTTCAAGTCGCCACACTCCCTCCATATAACACACAAAGCAAGAGAAGAAAGTAGGAGAAATACATATTAGAGACAGTAAACAGAGGTGTGAGACAAAGGAATAGTAATAACGAAGAACAAAACAGTTTCATTAGAAATCATAAGTCACAAGGAGTGGATGCATCTGCACCAGCCATTGAGAACGGTTTTGAGCCATGTCACCAATTGTTTCCAACCATTAGTTTTTACTGTCCCGAGGATCCCAACCAGTCAGGAAGTCTACACCTTCCTACGTGGCTTAGACTAACTGTTGTGGATTTCATTGACTGATGAAGCCATGTTTTGGTTTGACCGCCGCTAGCTCTTTTCCAGCCTGACCCTATATCAGCTAACATTGCCCGTCGAGGAAGGTGATGACTAGGCATACATAACACATGTCCTAACCATCTCAATCGATGCAATTTCACAGCTTCGTCGATTGATTTCCCCGCCTTACCTAGCACTCGACGCCTAACCTCAATATTGCTCACCTCATTATACCACTTCACACGGGAGATGGAACGCAGACACCTATGATCGAAGACAGCTAATCTTTTCATGTCTTCTGCTCTCAATGGCCAGGTCTCACAGCCATAAAGGAGGACGGAGCGGACAGATGAGAGGTACACACGCCCTTCGGTCGATAGTCGGATATCCCGTCTACTAAGCCAGAGACAGCGTAAAATGGCATATGCGAAACTAGCCCTCTGTATCGGTGCTGAGATTTCGTCAGAGATGAACCGTTGGCACTGGCTGACGATACTTCCCAAGTAAGTGAAGTGGTCAACGTGCTGTACCACTTCACTTCCTATTTCTAATCTAGGAGTCGCTGTAATCCACTCCTGAAACATTATCTTGCATTTGGCAGGAAGAGAACCATTGAAAACCAGCACCGGAGTACTGGACAACTATCGAAAATTAATCTGATGCTTGCTAGCGACTTGCTACACGACAGAGTTTCCTGGAGTTCTAGTGAGAAGTCGTGACCAGTGAGGTCCACATCCAGTCAAGTGTGAGGATGGATGTCCCACCGATGACATAGGTTGGTGCCAGCCACGCTCAATCACGAATCGGTAGAAGTTAGAATTCATGGGCTGGCCATTGAATCGGGTCCCAGTGGCTCAGCTTAACTTGTAACAGGAAGGTTCTGGGTTCGAACCCTCGAGGGTGGGTGCTTACTGGCGATGATTCCCAAACTCGGTGGTTTTCAATGGTTCTCTAACTGACGCCAATCCCTGATCATCTCGTAAAAAAAGAATAATAAGTAATAATAATAACAATAATAATAATCACAATATCATAAACTTAATCAATTTTGCTCTGCCTAAAATTTGACGTTCATCAAAAATGTAAATTATGTCGAGATTTAGTTGCGTAGTAACAGTCGAAGTTACTACACATAAGGTAGTGTGTAAGTAATCTGTCAATTAAACATGCATATTATAAACATATTGAACACAATCTATTGTGATTGAAATTCACTTGACATTTGATTTAATGGTAACAATAACAATAATAATAGTAATAGTAATAGTAGTAGTAGTAGTAATAATTGGTCACAGATCTAATACTGTTATCAATAATCCTCTATTACTTGTATTTGTAGGAAGTAGTACATGTAGAGGTATCACTCACTAGTCAGGATGATATGTTTATATTAATAGTGTAAATAAATTAGAACACATTATTATCTCTGAAGACAAAATACACACACACACAAATTCTAAGTAAGTAAGGATAATTATCGAAGAAAGAGGTATCGCTGAAGAAAAAGGGGGTAAGGAGGAGAATAAGTGTAGAAGAAAGGGAGGAGGAGGAGGATAGTGAAAATAGATTACTGCATAATCTGTGCAATAATTACAGGACAGTTCATCATAGTAAAAAAAAGAAATTTATGACATGTTTTGACATTTATTTCCTTTGGGGAGGGGGCAATTGGGGTGGGGGGCAGGAAGAGAGGGGAGAGAAGGCTAAGATTACATAATCTAATGATGATTATATTTTCGATATATTATATCACTAAAGGTAGTCACATTGATGTTTTGTTGATGTTGGATGGTTGGAGGCAATCAACCTAGACCTAGGTTTCGTGCTAATTGGCACTCATCAGCAAGGAGTATCTACAACCAGCTTGAAGGAGTTCATGTCCCTTCTGAGATTCGAACTCGCGTCACCCGGTGAGTGCTGCAGTTAGAGACGTTATCACTGACACAGGTTTCAATCTCAAAAAAGGGGACATGAGCTCGCTGGAAGTTGCGGATATGCCTGTCTTGCTGACTACTGAGTGCCACTAAACAGGAAACCTAAGTCCAAGACTTCGTGCCGATCTTCCACAACCATCTATTATCAACATTTCACAGTGCATCGCGATGGGGAGTCACCTAGTGGCATGGTGGCCACATTGCAAACCTGACTGACTGATAGAATTCAGTCTGCACCAAAGAGAGGGGACTAGACACATCACACTAATTACTAACTAGTATCAAATCAAAAGTGCCCAATACAGTCCGACAGGAGGTCAACCGCGAGCCAGAATAGCTCAGTGGTAAT